AAGAGAGGAGCTGAAGTTGTCACCAGAAAGAGTGACCTCAGGAGAAACAGGTTGCATGGGGTGTGGGGGCGGCATGGGGTGGGCAGAATGCAGCAGGGAAATGATATGTTTGGTGTTGGTTTGGTACAGGTGAGAGAGCCAGGATGATAGTCGCAGAAATCTCAAAGCATGATATAAAAACTAATGAAATTTGAAAAGTAGAGCTCTCCAACAAAAGGGAAAATAGGGATTTATGGGAAGTTTATGTGGTTTATAGGGGAGAATGATTGGACTGACGCTGAGTACTTAGAAGTTACTAGTGTGTAAATGGTATTTGAGGCTGGGGAAAAGGTGAGGTTAGCTCAGATAGAGTTACTGGCTTTAGTAAAAAGCAATCAAGCAAACATAGTTAAATTTGAATTTCAGATAAACAATGAATAATTTTTTAGTATATTCCATGAAATGTTTAGGACATATTTGTCCTAAAAAGTATTTATTGTTTATCTGAAATTCAAATGTAACTGAGCACCATATATTCATCTGGCAGCCACCACAGGGGCTGCAAACAGAAGTGCTTGCAGGGCCCCAGGCATCCCTCCCGGGCAGGGGGTGAGACCGGGTGACTGGAGCACATGTGTTTTATTCTCGGAGACAGCTGCCACCAGCTTCAGCTGATTGGGTTTGCAGAGATGGCCTCGAGGGTATCTAATATTGTAATGTTTCAAAACAGAATAGAAATATATGTTTTAAATGTGGACTATCTTGATTTTAAAAAGTGGGCCCACAATGAAAAGGAAAACATTGTGAAGTACAAAAAAAAGCAGGTCCATGGTTTCCACAGGCATATGGGCCACTGGTTTTCTCGCTCTGATCTGATATCTAGAGTGGGTGGGGCAGGTTTTTGACCTGTGAATTACGGTGATTCACAATGTCAGGGTAAAGAGTACCTGGGTGTGGGGAAGGGACAGAGGCAGGGGATGATTTCCTCGCGCAGAACGTGAGAAGTGGGAGGGACATCTCTGGCCGTGACCCCGTGGTCTCGCCCCTCTGGGCCCGAGCTTGCCGCACCGGCCCCTCCTGCAGCTGGGCAGCAGCTCGCACCCGCAGGGCCACGCCCGTGCCGACTCGCCCTGCAGGACCCGGGGAAGGCAGGCGCAGCCCAGCAGCCTTTCAGACAGCACACCGACAGCAAGTGAGGCTTCGAAGGCTTTCATCAGAAAATTGTGGGTGGAAACTTCCAGGGGTTTGCTCTGAGCTTCTTGAGGCTTCTCAGCTTCAAAGTGAGTGGGTGTCTCTCTGAGAAGCCGAAACACAGAGGGAAAGAGAGAACGAAAGAGAGAGCAAGCGAGAGAGCACGCGAGAGAGGTGTTCCCCTTGGCTGCGGAAACTCTATAAGAACGAGCCGGGTCCCCTTCTCTCGAGCAGTCAGCAACAGGAGTCCCGTCCCCGATACTTCAGCCGCCACAGGACTGAGACGTCAAACCTCTCGCTGGGGCTGGCCCGGGTCACTGACTGCCATGCAGCAGCCCTTCAGTTACCCCTATCCCCACATCTACTGGGTGGACAGCAGCGCCAGCTCTCCCTGGGACCCTCCAGGCTCGGTTCTCCCCTGTCCGACCTCTGTGCCCAGAAGGCCTGGTCAAAGGAGGCCACCACCACCACCGCCACCACCACCACCTCCGCCACTGCCACCGCTGCCCCCACTACCGCTGCCACCCCTGAAGAAGAAGAGGGACCACAGCACAGGCCTGTGTCTCCTCGTGATGTTTTTCATGGTTCTGGTGGCCCTGGTGGGGTTGGGGCTGGGCATGTTTCAGCTCTTCCACCTGCAGAAGGAGCTGGCCGAACTCCGCGAGGTAAGCCTGCCCGGGGCTCGCTGCCCCCTGGAGTCGCTGGGCGAAGCGCAGCTCTGCCCTGGCAGGGGTGGAGGGCGGATGTGGCCACGTGGACCACTGCCTGGCTTGCAAGATGCCTTTCCATCCTTTTTTCTATCCTACCAGTGAATTTTTCTAGTCGTTCTATTCTATAGGCAGAGAAGTAGAGGAATATTTTCTATCTTGTAAATGCAGAATAGAAATAGAAATTCTACAAAATGGAATATTTTCTCTCTTGGAATGAATCAGAGCCAACCAGTTCTTCCTTTCTCAGTTGTCCACGCAGTCTTTGAACCACTTACTGCCTCATAGCTAGTGATTCAAGGAATAAAAACACTTTGAGTCTTGCTTAGAAGTAAATGTGTTCCAATGACTGAACTAAATCTTGAAAATACTTAAAAATATCGACATCTCTCCAAATTGCAAAACTGAGGGACAGTGAGGCACAATTTCTTGGCCAAAGCTGGAGTTAGAAAAAGTTCTCAGGTATTTGTATTTTCTTCCTATGCCTCCTTTGCCTAAAGAACTTCTTATTTATTATACACCTTTTCTCTTTTTCTTTTGCTAGTCTACTCGCCAAAAGCATACAGCATCATCTCTGGAGAAGCAAATAGGTGAGTCCTTTTAGGCGTGTGCCTTGAGTTCCCAAAGATAATCCTCAACCCTGACCCATGCTGGTGGAGTGCCCTGTACTCTGTCCCATGCTTGGCTTATACTCTGAGAGGAATCCTGGCTAATTCGGAATCTCTGGTCAATATGGTTCCTTGAGTTGCTTTAAAATATGAAATGAATTTAATTGCTCAAAATCAGTGTAGCTGAGCACTGCACACACCTCAAAATCATTTCCACTTGGCTTTGGAAAGAGACACACATATACAGCCCTGGACTTTTGCCCCCTGGGCAGCTGGCTCCAGGCCTGTCCCCTTCCACGGGGATCCAGGGCCTGGCACACATGCCAGGGGACATAACTCCTGGGAAGAGAAGGGGAACGTGAAGGGAAGTGAGGGCAGAGAGAGCTGTTTCTGGGAAATGTCCTCTCCTCTTTTAAACTCTCTAAAAGAGATTGTTCAAGAGTCAAGCTTTATTTTTAAAATATTTTATGGGCTATAACTCAGCTTTTAAAAAGTGGACAATAGCCCACATTAGGAGGGTTCTTTTGAAGTCACTGTGAAGCTCAGAGGAAGACTGTAGCCGTTATTCAAAGGATGGTTCAGCTTCACCCACAGTCAGGAGCTACCTTTGATAACAAAGTACAATCCTTTGTATGACAGCCAGCACAGGACGAAGACGAAATATTGAACACTGACCTCATGAAATTTCAGGGCATAGTTTTGGAAACTGTGGGCAGGGATTTTAGGATATGCTTCATTTGTCTTAAACTAAGATTCATTGAATTTTTAAAGTTGGAAGGGAGCTTAGAGTGTGTCTGATCCAGCCACTTCATTTTTCAGAAGAGAACAAAACACCAGACAGATTAGAGCTGTCCAAGACCACTGGAATGGAACTGGGGCCAGGAGCAACATGGCCTCTAGATGCCTCGTCACCTGCAGGGCTTTCCAGTACCTGGACTGGTCCTCATGAAATGAGGAAACTCCTGTTTCTCTACAGTGGCCCTGGCATGAGAAATAAGTGAAAAGCAGGATATCTCTGCAAAGACAATAGGAAAATCTCATCTTTGGAAACTCAAAAGAAAACAGACGGCAGCTTGGCCCATCCATGTAGTGGAGCCTGGTCTAGTTCTCAGGACGTGCCTACTGTAGTGTCCCCATCTGCCTACTGTCCTAGCTCTCGTAGGAGCCATCGCTGGGATGTTCTGGTCTCTAGTTCTGGGTCCAAGTCCCTAAGTGTTAGAAAGTCCATATGTACACAAGCAGAGTGGAAATACTTGTTAGAGAAGTGAAGCCTCTGGAGGATTTTAAAAATAAAATCCCTTTGAAAATCAGTGGAATGTGGCTGGTCAGATAGGTACCTAATTACTCATCCTTCACCCACTCTATGGAGTTATTTTAGTGATTAAAAGTCAAATGAACAGATGAGTCAGTTCTACCTACCCTAGTAAATAACTGTCTTCCCCAGGTCAACCCAGAGGGAGGAGGAATTGGTGAATTATCACATGGAAATCAAATTAGTGACTTTACTAAAAAGATAAGCAACACAAATTAAAAGAAGGGGATACCTATTTTTATCCATCAAATTAGTAAAGAGTAAAAATAAAAACCCAGATTGGCAAAGACGTGAGAGAAAAGGTCCTGCTTAAACATTAGCTCCAGCTGGTGTGCATGTAGGTTAACATAGCTTTTCTGAAGAGCAGTTTGGACGTACATATTAAAAGCTGGAAACTGTTAGCTTACCCTTGATTTCATCACTAAGCATTTATCTTAACAATCAGAGACGCGCCTGTACATTTATACATAAAGATGTTCATCACTTCCTTGTGAGGCTATTTATAATGAACAATTCGGAAGAAACTTAAATGCCTCATAATGGGAGAGTAGTTAAATATGCTACAGTGTATTCAGATGGCAGCATAAGATGCAGCGACTAAAAACCACGAATCAGGACATTTAATGCCACGGGGATTGTGCTCGCTGTATTGCCAGATAAAAAGACAAGTTCGGGTATGTTTCGTTTCATACTGACTATGTAAGCACATATGCATATTTTTATATTCTTAGAAAGGAACTGCAACAGTGCTAACAGTGATTTTTCTTTGGGAGGTACTGATATAGATTATTTTCACCTTCTTATTTGCTTCTTTTTACATTTTCCACTTTTTCCACAGTTCACGAATTAAATCTTTCATTCGTTCACAAGGGTTCTTGGAGAGCTTCCTGTGTGCGAGACTGGGTGTCGGGTGTTGGGTGACGATTGAGCATGAGAGAGCCCAGGGGGCCTGTCCTCGTGGAGCTTTTAGTGTTGGGGAGGAGATAAACAAAAGCAAGCAAATAACGTAATTGCAAATTGCACTAACTGGGACCCTCCAGCGGTCTGGAGAGGCCCCCCCTAAGGAGGTGCTGTTTATGCTGACCCCCGAGGGTCGGGAGCTGGCCAGCCAGGAGCTGCGTGCGGTGGGGCGGGGTGGGGTGGGGGATGGGGGAGCATTCCAGCATGAGAACGCGTGTGCTAAGACCCGGGGGCAGGAAACAGCCATCGCCAATGTCTAGGATGTATTTCCAGACTGTTTATTCCAGTATTTAGACAGCGGGCACTTTCAGCGTGTACCTTCTGTGAGAATAAGGTTGTACCAGGCTCTGTGAGGGACACAAAGGCGAGCAACATGCGGTTCTCTGCTGCATTTCCTGTCAGCGCATGGCCCAGCGCCAGATCAGCTGCTCAGATGGCTTGTGGTGCAGGAAGGTAGAAAGGACTCAGTTTTGCCTTCCTGTTCGCTAACGCCTCATTCATGGTAGGCTGTCGTGGGTGGCTAGAGAGGTCACGATTACTCAGGTAATGTTCTGAGTGGGTCGGGCCCTCCTCATGCCATACGTGAGTTTCGCAGGCTAATCGCAAGCCTGCGACAGACAAGCACCTTTCTATGAATCTTTCTTGTGCGTTTTAGGTAGCTGAACTCGTTAGCGAAGTGGTAGCCTCTCTTACCTTGTCTGAGATATTTGAAGTCAGAGAAACAGTGTCTATTTTGAGAACTATTGTCTGTTTTAATTCCTCCTATTTAATTTGGCAAACATTTACTGGTACTAGTTGAAACTGGCGAATTCGACATACAGTAAGGAATTTGCCCTTATTTAAAGGAATAAGTTATACAGTTACTGCAGAGAAGGGGAGTCAAACCAACAAGGGAGGTGAAGATGGGGTGACCCTAGGTTTCAAAGGAGGAGAAGATCATATTGATTAAAAAGGCCTGGGAGGGTTTCCCAAAGAAGGAGGTGTTTTAGATGGTCCTCACAGGATTGTTAGGAGTTTGGCACCGAGATCTGATTGGGAGAACGTTCTGGGCAGGAGGCACAGAGGCAGGGCAGTGGGGTATGTTCAGCCGCGGAGCTCCTGTCCTGTGGCAGTGTCCCGTGTGAGTGAGTCAGGAAATAAGCTGGACAGACGGGCTGGGACTGCATCGGGGACACTTGGACACAACTGCATGTTCAGTGAGGAGCCATTAAAGGTGTTTGAGGTCTTGGTGCTACGAGGTGATTGTTTGAGGCCTTTGGATGATAATTTGGGGCAGATTGTAGCCTCTGTCCTGCAGAGTGCAAGGGGCGGCAGAGCCAGAGTGGGTGGAGCCCTGGATTTGGAGTCAGGAGACTGAGTGTTGGTCCTACCTCTGACAGTGAGTAGCTGCGTCTTCTTGGACGAGGCTTCCAAATTCTAAGCTCATTTTTCTATCTATAAAGTGGGACAATAATCCTACCTCAAAGGGTTGTAGCAAGTCCTAAACGCAGTAACTGATATGACAGCTCTTTATGAATCAGTGTTTATATTAATTATGTTTTGTCGTAACTTTATAATTTATGCATATGTCTATTTTAATTTGCTTTATTTTTTACCTCTCTGTTTCTGAAATATAGACTGCTCTGAGTCCTACAGTTTGGACTTGCATGATTAGTATGTTAGATTATTGCCATTTATGGTTTTAAAATATATTTTTTTAATGGTGGAATTTAGAGTCCCACCA